ATATATATATATATATATATATATATATATATATATATATATATATATATATATATATATATATATATATATATATATATACATAAATATTTATATATATATATAGTCATTTACTTTAGGACTAGCAAATTAATTTCACATTTTCACCTCCAACATGCCATTAAATCAGCTACTATCCTCTCCCCCTCATTCAAACTTATGAATGACTCTACTCAACCCGTCATTCATAAACATGGCTGACTAGTCATCTTTTCCATGGTTGAATTTGCTGTTTCAGGTCATCTCTGATTTAATTGGTACAGGAAAAAAAAATGTGTCAAACCGTTTAGCAAAATATGAAACCTGTGTACTGTATCTTATTACATTATTTAAGGACATCAATTCTTGGCAGCGCAGCTAAAATCATTGATTCCAAAACTGATAGCTCCTTATAGCTTAAACAAGTCTGAACTGGCCTCTTTGACCTGGCATGCACCACTGATCTGACTCTAAACTAGCCATGTGGGATTCGATTTAAACAAAACGTGCTATTTCACACAGTGCTGGCTCGAACAAACTCTGCGCACAGTGCAATTATTTTATTTACATTTTATTTAGCTTTAAAGGACAGCAAAAATAACTGTAGAAGGAATTCCATTGGGAGAATGCGAGAGTGGGATATCTTAAAAAAATACACACAAAAATAAAAACAGTCTCACAGAACTCTACACTTCATGCAAAGTGAAATCAAAGTGTTAATGGTCCATTAAATCAAAAATAATCAATAAAACAAGAGCTTTCCCAACACAATCTTGTTGTCTGTTGACTGTAGAAATGGGTTCATCGACTTCATTCTTGTCTATTAGAAATATTCTGAGACCATAACATATTACTTTTATCTTGCTTTTTTATCATCTGCCTCACTGTTTTTTTTTTGTTTGTTTGTTTGTTTTTCCATCTTATGACAAGTCAACAGCTCCCCACACTGACAACTAGTGATTATATTACTTGTCTAGTCCAGGCAACCCCTAGTTTGATATACAGGGTGTCCCAAAAGTGTCCATACATATTGGACTGTGTTTGATAAGGATAATTAGTCTTTATTGGTCACATATACAGTACAGAACAGTGAAATTCTTTTCTTCCCATTCCCCAGCATATTAGGAAGTTAGCCATGGTTACATATTAGCATATTAGCATATTAGGAAGTTAACCACAGGGTTAGCCATGATACAGCGCCCTGGAGCAGACAAGGTTAAGGGCCTTGCTCAAGGGCCCAACAGTAGCAGCTTGGCTTGAACCCTGATCTTCCAATCAGTAACCCAGAGCCTTAATGCCAAGCCACCACTGCCCCATGTTTGCCAGCACCACGTCGGTTGTGCCTTCGGCAATGGATGTTCGTGTTCATCCACTGCTCAGTTGGTCACTTCCAATCTTTTTGAATTTGAAGTTATTAATAAGTTTGGCAGCAGTGTCATGTGTGATGAGTTTGCCATGTTTCCTGTTAAAGTCCATCGCAACCTTGCAACAGCTTCCTGATCCAGAAATGAGAATGATTTCAATGCGATCTTTTACTGTCATTCTTATCTAGAAAATGCTTTAATTTCCCCTATGTGTGTGTTAATTTCCCCTATGTATAGAGAATTTTGGGACACCCTGTATATTGGATATTACTGGATAATAAAGGATTAGATAATATATGATTAATACTGGCCTGAAATCCGGGCTAACCATTAGATTAGATTTTACATATTTTCCCATGCAATCCACTGATTTTAGACGGTGAATGCCTGTTATGTTGCCTGACAGGACACAGATGGCAAACTTTGAAGCTTGCAGCAGAAGCTTGCAGCAAGCCAGCGTGGCTACTAAATGGATATTAGTATTAGATCACTCACATATTAATAGCTCCTAATTCCAGTATCAATCATGGGATTGGTGCATGCCTAGTAATAAAAATACTCCATAAAAAGCTTTATAGTCAAAGTAAGAAATATTTATCTCATGATACATTTTTGCACATGCACAAACTCAAACTCAGCCACTGAATTCTTGTTTCGGCTTATGGATTTACTAAACAGGTGAATTGATGGAATTTACTAAAAGGAAGGGCTAAAAAAATCAGTTGCTGGCTGAAAATGTGCTACAGAGAGGAAGGTTGGCAGATGAAATGAAGTCACCTGGCGCTGGACAGATCCTTCGTTTTTTAGTTTGTGCAGTATAAAACAATATATTTGTAGGGACAAGTCTACATAAACATATACTGCCTCCAGTATAAAACACAGACGTCATTTCTCATTTCCATAATAGTCAATTAATGCAAAAGTGTTAGCCATAGCAGCCAGCAGGATCTTGGTGGGAGGTGGTAATGAAGGTAATGAAAATGACTGCAGGCTAGGGACAGATTTATGCAACAGGTGAACAGCTATCATTCTTTAAATAGCAACATTAGCCTATCCTTCCAGATGATCTGATCAGACAAAGGGATTTACTTTTTAATCTGATGTATTTAAGGCTTGGGATGAAGGTAGGTAGGTGGTACGTGTCAAAGTGACATCCATATGAAAAGGGATGAAGGTAGGTAAGTGGTACGTGTCAAAGTGACATCCACATGAATGCCAGGAGCCAAATTTCCCAGCAGAACATTGTCTAGAGAATCACATTGACTCTGTCGGCTTGTCTCTCACAGTGCATCCTGGTGCTCTCTCTTCCCCAGGTAAGCAATGCACATGTACTCGGCCGTCCACATGAAATAAAAAAACAAAACAAAACAACATAATTCATCAGACCAGGCCACCTTCTTCCACTGCTCCATTGTCCAGTTCTGATTCTATCGTGCCAATTGTAGGCATTTTTGGGGGAGGACAGGGGTCAGCATGGGCATTATGAATAGTCGGTGGCTACTCAGCCTCATACACAGCAATCTGCAATGCACTGCAATGTGTTCGGACATCTATCTATCATAGCCGGCATAAAGTTTTTTATCAATCTGGGCTACAGTAGCTTTTCTGTAAGAATGGAACAGATGGGCTAAATTTCTCTTTCCACGTGCATCTGTGAACCTTGTCCTGTTGAACCGGGTGAACTGGTTGTCCTTCCTTGGACCATTTTTGGTAGGTACTAACCTCTGCATACGGGGAACACCAAACAAGACCTGCCATTTTGGAGATGCTCTGACTCAGTCGTCTAGCCATCACAATTTGGCCCTCGTCAAAGTCACTGAAATCCTTACATTTTCTAATTTTTCCTTCTTCCAACACATCAACTTTGATAACTGACTGTTCACAACTGTTCTACATTGCTAGAAGGTAGCTATAGACATCTAGCTCGACAAACAATCTTATCAGCTAAAGATTATATGATATGTGTACCATTTAAACAATAGAAGCTCAGACCACACACATACTAATTGGGAAGATGATGGCATCTTCATTACTGTTCACTTCCTGTTTACTGATTTGTCACTATGGAAGCATATGGTTTACAATCACTCATTGCAAACTCTTGTCAATATCTTGTGTTATATATTGTAGGTTCTGAGTCCTGTTTCAACCATTTTGCATCTCTTTTTTGACTTTCGTTTGGATTGATCTCTTGTCCATTTTCCATGTGTGTGTTTCATCATTGCCTGCCTAATGAATTTAGATTGTTTTTAATAAACTGTGCACATAGATGCTCATTCTTCAAGTGCGTCTGGTTCTCTGCAGTGTGATTTAAACCATGGATGATTCACGTTTAGTCGGGTTACACACACCTGTATTAACTGTTAATTAATCCCAAGACATCTAAAGCTATAAACAGCAGGATATTAAGAAAGATTTTTTCATAATATCTTCCCAAGAACATTTTCCTCAATTAACAGATGAGCTGCATGAAACATCTTTGAGATGTTTGTTAAGTGTTTGTGATCATTTCTAGAACAGGCTCCAGCCATATTTTAGAAAGTCAAGATATCATATCTTTTCCACCTCTGTAAATAAACCGTCTATGGACATGAAAGCTGGTTTACTTATCAATCTATTTATTTTTTCTTCTGAAGCATCGCTTGTCCAGTGTCTCCATGTCCTCTCCTCCTAAGTTGTACAATGCTGATTTAGAAGCTTATGGCTGTTATTGCTACAGGATGAGGAAATTGAAGGAACACTGTAACAGGATTGAGAAAATGCAGGCACCATTTTCGGAAGTGGAATTGGGGATTGCCTCAGGCACTTACTCTACAAGGACAGTTATCATAGGTAGTATTAAGGATAGGAGAGCAACAGTCACGCACACACAAACACAAAGATACACACCAATGTGCCTCAGAGCACAACATAAATACTGCCTATGTTGTTTTACTGTTGATTGTAAGGATGAGGTCTGAGATCTAAACGCTAATAAAATAAATGAATCTCTTTATGTAGCATAAACTGAACCAGCAAACATGTCTAAACATTTCAAATGGTGTTCAAAGAAAATCAATATGGAGCTCTGTTGAACACGTTGTGATGGCAAACTGTTCCTTATAAACAACCTCTATCTGTATATTAGTGTATCTCCACCTGCATTTTAGCATACTCCCATAATGTAGCCATCCTGCAGATGGAATGAAATTATTAGGGGTGGCTGGTATAAATAGCCCAGCAGGGCTAAACCTCCCCGTTTTTCAAAATAAAGTTTCTTTTTTGTCAACAACATCAGTTATTTCCTATTAAGAAATGTCTTAAGGCGTTTTCACACCTTGCGTCTTCTTTCGTGGTTTGGTTTATTTAGACATACTCTATATGAACACAGCAATCTCTCTCGGATCTGAACCAAAACAATTGGTCCAAGATCACCCGATTGCAATCAAACTCTGGAGAAGTTTGCTTGTGGTGAGAAAGCAATCCGACCCAACAGACCAACAAATTAACCTGTATAGCAATGCATGATGGGAACTGCATTATGTAAAAAGTGTATTTTTTTGTAATAGCTTGAATACATTTTTAACTTGGACCAAAGACGAGGTAAAATGCATCATTTTACCTCGTCTTTGTTCTGAGCGCACAGTGGCTTAGTGGTTAGCATGTTTGTCTCACGCCTCCAGAATCCGGGGTTCGATTCCCGCCGGGGCCGTGTGTGTGCAGAGTTTGCATGTGCTCCCTGTGCTGTGGGGGTTTCCTCCGGGTACTCTGGTTTCCTCCCCCAGTCCAAAGACATGCATGGTAGGCTGATTAGCGTGTCTAAATTTTCCTGCGAAGTTCAGGCACCCTGTCCAGGGTGTACACATAGTTATGTTCCAGGGTACCACTGTGAGTGGTAAACAGGCACATTCTGACCAATGACAGGATGGTTTATTCATATGTGACTTGCATGAACACATTTTGGTGCCAAGGAGAAAATGCAACATGGAACAAAGCACAGAGCTACAGGTCTGAAAATGCCCTTAAAATGGATTCTTTTTGGACGTTTGTGGAACCAAGTGCAGCAGCACAACCGATGGTCATTACCCAGAATGGTATGAAGAAGTAAGGATGAGGCTGATTTATTTCTAGTCCTGACTAAACAATCGATTAATGAAGCCTATAAGTGGAAAGTCATGTTAGGATTAGACAGAGTGAAAAGCACACAACATTTTGCGTTCATGTGCTGATATTTTTCAGCCAGATTCGCTGACACATCTGTAACACATCATCAGCTGTGATTTTCATAAAAGTAAAAGTAGACAGACTAAGCATACATTACTGAACCATAGTACGAATTACACAAAAGGACAGATAACATAACTGTATATGCAATTATTTATTTATTTAATTATTTTGAATGCAAGGGTTACAACGTTTCTGGTCATATTCAGAGTTGGTGAGAGTTGGTGACACCAACTTAAGTTACATCCATAGTTATGCAAGGAAAGTTATGTGTATTCAGAGACTGGTTAGACAGTTTAAGTTGATTTTCTGCATGCACCATTCAAATCCTGCAAATTCCCTGCATGTAGTTCACGCCTCTGAGGTTACCAGATTTTTATTGAGTAGGAGGTTTTTCAATAGCATCTAGACCTACATGTAACCACAATCACTTCCCCACCCTCTTTTCTTTGCTGTCAAATGTAATTACTTAGATGTTATATTATCGTGGCTATATTATGATGCTTTTAGTTGTTGAATTAATAACGTAATGCCAATAAAGTCTCCTGTAAAAAAAAAGATACCCAGAGTTTAAAGGATAAGCTGACCAAGCATTCATTTGCTATGCTCAACCTCATTAAATGCATTTAATAGTACATAAATTTATGTGAACTGGATTTTAAGGAGCCATTTTTGATGATCTTCAAATTGTTGCACCATATTTTTTCAATCAATTCCTTTCATGCTGTTTATTTACAGACTCCATACCCGCACAGATTTATAAAAAGAAAAGTTTGGCCAAATTGCAGGCTACTCAGTAATAACCATACCTTGACTGAAGTGTTCTGCTGCCCATAAATATTTAACATGTTCTGATTGGCTGTGAAATAAGTGTTCTTCACCTGCTCGTTATCTCTGTGCCCTTATCAGCTCCTGTTGGGCTAAAACTGTGCGTGATTTAAAGCACAATCCTGTCGGTCCACTTGAACTTGAAAATTGGGGCTATTACCTAACTGAACCTTCAAAGCAAGAGTGTGTCTCAAATACACTGTGTGTAATAAATGTCACCGTGGCATTGAGATTTAATCATGCAAAATCTGTGTCGTCTCCATTTTAAAAAGAGGGAATGTGATGTGGCAGACAGAGCAACAGGGTGAAAGATTGTAAGAAGCACTTTGAAAATATATGTATTTATATAAATATAAATATATATATATATATATATTCCAAGTTGTGTGTATTAATGACACCCAGATGCTCTTTCATTTGGAGGGAATGCTTTTGAATCCTCACGATGCGTCTCTAATCCCTTTCTGCATTTTCGGAATCAAATTTGGTTTCATTTGAGGTGTCATGGCAACACTTCCTGCTATTCGAACTGCAGAATCTGCATCTAAGTAAAGAAAGGAAGACAGAATCACATTTTCAGATGTTAAACCAGGGGTTTCTGCTTCATGCATGCTGCTTCATAATATTGAAATGCTTGCTCCTTTATGAGCTTCATAAGGCTTGCTGTCTGAAGCTTAGTTCAATCCGAATGTGATATGCCTTCAAATCAAGCCTCTAATCAAATCATTTCAGAAGGCGCAAATCTTTTTGGAGCGTGGAGCAATCTGACTGGAGCATGCAGAGATTTCCAAGCCTATGGGTTTATTCATGAGAGGGAAAGGGATGAGGCGTGAGGTGTGTGCATGCACTGATGGCAGCATTTACACACATCCGCAGGCACTCTGTTGCTTCCCCGCTGCACCATTAGCTTCTGCCAAGCATCTGCGCTCAGAGATAGCTTTAGATTGGGAAGGCCCTGTGCATTCCACATCCATTTTGTGATTCTGCACTCTAACAGCTTCAAACAGCCAGTGTACAGTCAAAAGAGCTTGAGTGTGAGACGAGAGGATACTGGGACATGCAGACCTGGAAAAAAGGAAGAACAAATCGTGTACAGGATGCACGGTGCTTCCTAGAGTGTACGTTCACAAGATCATAAAAATATACTGAGTTATCTGAGCATTCAGTGCAAAACCTGGCAGTGCGATAACTCACATAAAAAAAATTAAAAATGTGGGTACTGATCCAGTCCATGGTTAAGGGACTAATTCATGATAGCATGCTGTGAGTGCATCATAAGCCTTGTTTACAGCACATGTTAAAACATACTGTTAATCCTTATGAGCCACTGCTATACCTAGAGCAAACTGTACAAATCAAAAGAAAGCAAGGGGAGCTAGATGACATCCATTTTTTTTCCTTTCATATCCTCTCCACTTTCCCACCATTTTATAACAGGCTGTGATCATAAGCTGCTGCCTTCAGATATAATCTTTTATGGCGCCCTTTCCTTCGACAATATCGTTTCTTTTTCGGACTGAAGTGCACCGGTGTAGACAGAAACTCATTTTTGGAGAAAGAAAACGTAATGAAAAACTACTTTGGGCTTCACAGAACCGCCTGGAGTGTCCAACTTTCCTGAAGAATGCTCCATGTGCAATGAGGACAGTTGTCAATATAGTGGCACACAGCTCTTTGGTGAGCAAATCCATTAGTTGAGCTTTAGTCTGACAGGAGGCCTTTCAGCAAATCTAGGCAGAACAGAAAAAAGATGACCAGCATTCAGTATCAGCTTTTTTCTCCATTTACCTATTCTCTGAGATTTATTCTGATCACTTAGAAGTGCCACGATTCATGTTGTTACATAAAGAATAATATAGAAGAAATTGCTTTTAGCAGAGTGCTTTAGACGTAGCCTTTTTTTGTTTGAAATCCAGGCAGGAATGAAGGCAAAATGGCTTTTTTTTTGCCAGAATAAGCAAGGCTGCAACGTTCATAAAATATAACAAGAGACAAAAGATTTTGTGTCGTCAGAAGATTGAGTTTCTAGACAGCGCCTTCAACGTACCTTTCTGCCAATACAAATACAAAGATTAAGGTAATGCATATGAATGAAGCTTGTGCTGACTAAAATGGATAATAATGAGGTATTTTGTAATGCTCATGTCCTTTTGAATCCGCATTATACTCAATTAAGGTTGTCATACTGGATAATTTGTTGCTTAACCAAAGGCCAAATGCTGAAAGAGATCCATGATATGTCTATACATTTCCTTTTTTGAAATATCATACATCATTTCACATATTCGGGCCTTTGTGCATATTGTTATAGATCTATTTTTGTCTTGCCTAAGGGTTTGTTTTTTAAGTTGGATGAAATTTGCATACCCCCAAGACTTGAGTTTTCAAGGCGTGTACGCTTTTATCCCTGGCCATCCTCCAGGCGCAGAAGCCTCATCTAGTTAACAGCGCAATGAAATGCAAACGCACTCGAATCATGTGTGTTCCTGCATGTTAAGAGAGCCCTCGCTTGCTTCCTCCTTCATAAGCCAGAGCAGCGGAGAGCAGCTGCTATTGAAAATGTGGAGAAGAATAAAAGTTTGTAAGATAGATTTCACTTTGCACATACACATTGTTCTGTTCCAGAAATGCAGTAAATGGTAATATAGTGTTAATATAATTCCTAATTTGAATATACTGTACTGAAAACTTTTAATTTCTTCTTTTTTTTTTTGCAGTAGCAATGATGAAACAGATCCACAGTGTCAAGCAGGACATGATAGAAAAAAAAAACTGAACAAAAATACTGACACTAACAAATTGTCTGACCTTAAAAATTGATTCACTCTGGTCTAAGGAAAGAAGCAAGACAGCCTAAGAGTATCAATAAGTTAATTTAATCTTATTATCTTCTTTAAGGTCAAACCCCGAGTAACATAAAAGCCCAGTGGACTTAAATTCTGTTCAATCAGATGTGAAAAAGCCAGAGGGCACAAAAGGAATAAAAAGCGAGCCATGGAATATATGAATATATGCAGGTAAAATATCTAATTACTACCAGAACCATTACCTGCATCCAAGCACTTGGAGCGTAATCAGCTTCAAGCTTAAAGCTCACTTTATGGCATGCAAATTGTCCAAATTAACTTCCAAATAAGACACAATAATGCATCTCTCAGATGTCAATGCCAATTAATTTTGTTATTAAAAATCTATCAGAATAAATGGTTCCAAATGCTAAAAGTACGGAAATATTTATTTACGGGGTAAAATGTTATTTAAAAAAAAAAACTGTAGAACTGAGATGGAATAAATCAACAAAATTTAGCTTCTTGATGAATTGTTATTCCATTGATTCACAAGATCTCAGAACTCACATAAATCACTGAAGCTGGAAGAAAAAAAAACCCTACAATAATCAGTAGCTATGTCACTATTTCAACTTAATTTCACATTATTGTGACGTCATAACTTGTGAGTCCAGGATACTATGTTGTAATTTTGATGTAATATCTGATTATTTTCTATTTTTTGATTTCAAAATAATGTTTTACTTAATATATCATTGTTTTGACTCAATAATTTATTTCAAAGAAATGATGAAATAATGAGATATTATGTTAAAATAATTACAACATATTACACCGCTTTTTAAAAAAAATACCTCAGAAACGTATCTTA